CAGAGAAAACCTGTCATGCGTGGCTTGTAAGGGAAAACACACCTGAAAAGAGGACTTCATGGCTGTCTGGCATGACAGGCGTAACTCTGTTGCATGTTCTGCAACACAAATTTACACTTACACAGTTTTTTTCTTGCATAGGCGGTCGCGGAGCGACCGCCCGTGGAGGAAGACGGTGGGGACTTGAAACTGCATCTACTTCCACAGACTACGACTAATAGTGCTGCAACTGCTGGTGGAAAATCAAAAACCAAAAAAATCATCCGCGTTGCCCCCATCGCATATGGACTGCAAAAGTATCGTACTCGTATAAATGCATCACAAATTTTCTCAGCATGAGAAATAAAATTTGCCATGCGGATTTGCCTTAAGACAAAGATTTGTAATGCATATATACGAATACGATACTTTTGCACAGGATATCGCGGGACGAGTCGCGATTTTCCGAGCTGATCTCACCGAGCACGAGGTTTGTCCGGTATGCACTGCAAAAATGTCAGGGTCTTGAAGGATGCGAGTCTGTCACGCTTGTCTGGCATGACTCTGAAATCTGTGTTGCACGAGCAGGAACAGGGCCTCTTGCCTGTCATGCAAAAACGCAGTTTGTCATGCGGAAAATGAGACACGTAGCAGCTTAAAAACTTGTCATGCTTAGCTGCGTACTGCAGTCGTGTGCCTGTCATTCACAGATTTGCATCACAACTTTCCAGAGGACCCAGAGATATTTGCAGAGGATATCCGGTGCTGAACAGCAAGAAGAACCGGTATTCGTTCCTCGTCTGGTATTTCCAGAGGGAGGAAAGAATGAAGAAATTGTTTGGCGACAAGGATGGTGGCCGTTCCGCGGAAATGAATCCTAGAAACACTGACTACTTGACGAAAAGTTCCGGGGTGTCAGAATCGGTCGAGAGGGAAGCGCGGGACCTGGTACAGAAAGTGTATAATAATAACGGCAGCAGTGGTGGAACAGCAGCCGCCTTGAATCAGCTTGCGTTTAAAAAGTACTCGCCGAAAGTACGGAAACTTGCGGGGGAGATTTTGATGCTGAAATCTGCATCTGCTACAGGAGCGGAAGCAAACAGTCATGACCTTTGGATTACGGAGGAGGAGATTGTGAACGCCAGGGCAGGAATTGCCACGATGGGCAGGAAATCTTGAAAAATTAATTGAACTCATCGATGAAGACATCAAATTATTTGTGCCAGACGTGTCTGTCTTGAATTTCCATTTTGAAACTCGTCTGATCTTTTGCTGCCACACAACCACGAGAACGGTTTTGCTACGCAACTGTAAATTAAGTATAGTTTTACTTACTTTTTGCTTGATCGACGAGGACCTAGCGCACTGCGAATTGCGAATTGCGAGATGCAAAAAATTCCAAGTTATTTCTACCTCAATCCCGTTCCTTCACCCTGTTAGGAACAAAGAAGCGTTAGGATGTAATCATGATCCGTGACGCCCCGACGCGACAAGAAATATTGACACATAAAGCTCATCCAAGATCATCCGTTCTTTCCTTTTCCGTTCGACAGATTTTTTCGCAACATGCAATGATACTGATGCGAGCACGAAAAGCTCATTTATTCAGATCCTAACTACTCGAGTAAGGCTCTACTTCTGGTGGTAGGTTGCGCGTGGAGCAGCAGCTGCACTCCATAGGATCACAAAAATGGTCTACCTGCTCTAGTTGCATCTGATTTTTCCTCTCGATGTTGAAGCTCTTAGCGACTTATTTTCCTTTTTTCTCTTTTTGCAAACGATCGTCCGCAGCGATTTGATGTTTTAGTATTGCTTAGAAGTGAAAAAAAGACTTGTTATGCTCGATAATTGTTCATGATCTCGCGTATTAGAAACTGCAAGATCACTATACGAATTTGTTTTTAGATCTAGAAGTAGAATCCTTCCCCTGTGGTATTGTTTCTATTTGTGTTTCACCCTGCGCAAGATCGTGCATAGTTTTCCAGATCTGTTGTTTCACGTCGCATGAACATCACACGTGGTTCCTGATTAGTAAGTATTCGTTGGCTTCTCGAAGTCGAACAAAAATATTTTTAGATTTCACCCTAACACTCGCTGCTTGAGTTCTTCCTCAACATCGCATGCCTGCCCGTACACCTAAAGTAGTACCTAGCCTGCAAAGCACAAGTATCATCAAATTTTCCTACCAAAAAAAAATCTAGTAGCTTTTGTACATGTACTATTAGAGGAATTCAGAACTCTGGTAGCCAGATTTGAAGTTAAGTTTCGCCACGATTTCAGGCCTTGTCTGAAAGCAAATCAAAAACCAAAAAAACACATAAAAAAAAAAGAAAGTCAAAGTTCTTTGTTCATGGCGCATAAATATGAATGACGTTTGGGTCTAACAGTGCGTCGCTGTTCATAAAGAAGAAGAAGGAGAATCTGGAATACGAAAAACAAGAAGCCATCTTCAACAAGTAGAACGTATCGAAAGGAAAAATCCCCCCTCCCCATATCGAAAACGAAATTTGTGATGCTGTATTTGAGGTCACAAATCAGATTTGTCTTGCTGGCGAGGACTGCAGGCCCATATCAGGCCTGAGTAGACAAGTTTTGGCCTAGGCGCTTAGCATGGCAGACGTCTACGCTGTAGGAGCAACAGCATGACAAACCGCCTGTAGAATGTGGCGGAGCCTGTAGACTTGCCTTCATGCAATACGGCGACGATTTGTGGTCTCAAATCTGCATCACAAATTTTCAGAAGTGTCCCGGTTTGGTATGGGGAGGGGGGATTTTTCCTCACAATAGAACGAGTAGAACAACTACACCAACACCTTCCGTTTTTACAAAGCGAGAGTTCTCAGCAGTAGGAGGGCAGCAAACACCATCTCCAACTTCCAGTTGTCAGTACCATCAGCATCGGGCTCCAGGGGAAGATTTCCGTACAAAGTATAGAAAAAAGCAGAAAACCAGTCACCGGTTTTGCAGTTGATAAAAAGACTCCGACAGCCGAAGACATAAATTCTCGTCCTCCGTAGCTCTACTACCTAAGCGAGATGAGACGAGAACAAGCAAAATAAGCTAGCAGGCTGTATTTTCCTTTTATCGGTAATATCAACTACGAGTATAAAAACAAAGAGCTTTTTTTGGCGCAGCAGCTGCGGCGAAACCTTACGAAAAGCGGAAAATCACAAGGAAAGCCAGCACGATCATAAGAGCCGACGAAACAACACGAAGTCTATCGAAAGCCGTCGAGCCCAACTCCAAATCCGGATCCGACCGATCACTTGGTGGAGCTGACCACAAGAACGACCATGGCGGCCCAGCACGAATCTGTTCCAGTGAATCTGGAAGCAGCAGCAACTACTACCATAAAAGCGAGCATCAAGACGAGCGGCCCAAAAGCTAGCGAAGGTGGGCCCGCGTCGTTGAAAATGGAGGACGACCTCAACATGGAGGATACGACAACGACCACCACCACGACGACCTCCACATCGTCTCCACAGTTACCCTTCTGCATCACGGAAAACACCGTGAATTTTCAAAAACGTTTCCCCAACTTCCCCGCCACCACTTGTCTCCACACGGTGATCGGCGGCCGGAAGTCGCAAGAAGACCGGTTCTGCGTCTGTCCGAATTTGACGGAGCAGTTGGAGAATGTGCTCTTCATGGGGGTGTTCGACGGCACCGTCGGCCATTTCGCGTCCGACACGGTGAAGGATTTAGTGGTTCCTTTTTTGAAGCAGACCAGTGAGTACCAATTTCTGGAGCAAAACTGCATTTCAAATCCGGAGTACTGCGAGCAAAACCCGGACCAGGTGCTGAAACTGTTGTCCAAAGCGTTCAAAAAGATGTATTGGAAATCGGACGAGGAATTGCTGAAGCAAGCCGGAATCCACGAGAAGCACTACGCGAGTTGCACTTCGGTTACCTTGTTGCTATTTCAGGATTACGTGTGCGTCGGCCACTTGGGCGATTCCCGGGTCTGTTTGATGTATATCAATGAGGATAATTTGAAACGGTTAGAGGGACTGGGGGTGAAGAAAGCGGTTTTGGAAGACGGAGAGGGAAAGGAAAACGGCAAAGGTAACAACGACGAAAACCAAAACATGACAGACGGCACTTCTAACAGTTTGACAACTTCCTCCGACGCCGCGGAGCTGAACAACCAGATGAAAAATTTGAACATCAGCGACAAGAGTTACAACGGGAAAATCCCTGCGCTGGACCCGAAATTTGCCGCGAAAGATTCGTTCCGAGTCGACACCATCCCGATCAGCAAAGTCGAGTACCTCGTGGAGGGGAATTTCATCACCTCGGACCACAAGCCGGACACGCCGGAAGAACTATGAAAGTGCACAACTCCCCCTCCCTCTCATTTGTCATGCAAAATACCCAATCCTGAGGATCCTGAGGATTGGATATTTTGCATGACAGGGAGGATTCCTCCCTTTGCCTCCTGCTCTTGTTGGCACTGTTTGCATGACAAGTTCTGGTAGCCCAAATAGAACTACAGTCCAGTGCAAATTTGTCATGCAAAACCGGCACTCTTGCTGATGCCTGTATTGCCTGCGTTCATGCTATACAAACGAAGGGGGGGGGAGCTGTGCACTTTCATAAGAACGCACAAGGATTGAGAACTCGGGGGGGTCGGTTGAATATTTACATAACCACCAACACAAGCCGTTCATCCGTGGTGGGGACTTCCAGCAGCGGAAGTTGTTGGGGGAATCTCCGATGCAACTCCAGTACAGCAGGGCGTTTGGGGGGAAGGATCTGAAGCCGTTCGGCCTGTCCGGTGATCCGACGGTGAACGTCACCAAGCGGCAGCGGCAGTTTATGGGGTTCATCCTGGCGTCGGACGGTTTGTGGGACATATGAATTGCAAATATGTCTGGGTCTGTGTTTGTAATGCGAGATCTGAAGGGCAAGAAAATCTGTAATTCATGAATACAATTGGCCAGTTTTTTTGTCGTGCTGGATGGCAGTTTGTAATGCTAAACGCGAATGAAGCCGCAATAAGCTGAGGAAAACTTCTCATGCTGTTTCGCCGTACAAGCAGCCAGTCTGCAATGCAAGTCTCAGCAACGCAAGTTTCTGTTTCCAGACCCAGACATATTTGCTATGCATAGGACGTGTTAGGGGCGGACTTCGCATCCCGACTCGCGATATCAAATGTAAAAATGTCTGGGTCTGGAATAATGCAAGTGAAGTTTGTCATGCTTGTCTGGCATGACTCGAGAACCTGTGTTGCATAGGCACGAAAAAGCCCTCTTATCTGTCATGCAAAAACGCAGTTTGCCATGCGCAATAGAATACGTAAGACATGGCAGCCAAAAAATTTGTCATGCATAGCTGCGTACTGCAGTGCGTATTCATTCATTTTTAGCATTACAAGTTTCCAGACCCAGACATTTTTGCAGTTGATACGCGACGAAGACGTTTTTGGAATCGGTGCAGGAAAACGGGTATGCATTGCAAATACGTCTGGGTCTGGAAGGTCGCATCTTGTGATGCTGTCTCTGCATTCTGAAAAAATCTGTAATGCGTGACCAGCAAGAGGGGTGCAGTTTGTGCTATATGGACGAGAGGGAATTTCTCATGCGGAATAGGCATCAGCAACCCCTTTAAACATCTGTGATGCGAGGTTATGCATTACAAGCGTCATGGGTCACGTAAAATCCACATGATAAGTCTTACACTCTTCCAGAGGACCCAGACATATTTGCATTTGATAACGGAAAAGTAAACACGACGTTCGAGGGGACGGGAGCGGGCTATCCCTGCAAAAACGCCTCCCAGGCGTTAGTTGAGGCGGCGCTCGCGGCGGGGTCGACGGACAATATCACGGCGGTGTGCGTCTTCTACGATACGGTGGGAGGAGATATCGGGAAGAGTGGAACTTCGGGTGCTACGCGGGAAAACAAGATCCCCGAGCTATACGATTGAGGAGTGAATGAAATCAGACGGAACTTCAACTTGATTTTATTATTGCACACTACAGTATTGAAAACTACTTTATGTTTTATCTCGACAAAAAATTTTCTATAACCTCCATTTTATCACAAGCTTGGCAAAAATCATGTGTGATCTTTTACTTCTACTTCTTCCCTTGTTAATGCCACTCCTGGGGTCCTTCCAGAACTTTTCTGGACAATATCGAAAACTTGTACTTGCCAGCAAAACAAATTGAAGCAGGAATGAAACTCTTCTCGCTGCTCAGAACTCTACTTCATTACACAGAAGGGACTAACAACTCGCTTCAATTCCACTGCAATTTGCCCACGTGTCCAGAATTTACAAAAATCGATGTTGAAAAAAAAAGCGGGACACTTTAGGGGAGTGAGACATCTTCTAGGGATCAAAACGAATTTCTACAAACTGCTACGTCTACTTCTGGTTGTCACTTCTTGATGATTTACAGAGAGTAGGCCTAGGCAACGACATGAGATATAATTTCACGACAAAAACAGATATGTTTCAGCACCTCCACACAATAAAAGTACGACGCTATTGCAGTATGATAGCGCCGTTCTTTTGACAACTCTGTCGTGGCAAGAAGAACAAACTCTATAATGCGAGCGACGAGCTTTACCACTTCTCAGAACACGACCTCAAAAAAAATGAAAATCACGCCTTTGCTATTTCGCCTCAACTGTAGTGACCCGTACGCCCTTTGAATAAACGCAGCTCGTTTTTTTTGCCGGATTTACTTTGAAACGCTACCTCAAACTTAGTTTATTTTCTTTTCCTCGACAAGCGAAAGCGATCTCTTTTTCACGTGCAGGAAGGTCTCAACTTTTTCGCAAAAAGGAGAATGTGACAGACATTTATCAGTCACGTTCTTCGTCAAAAAAAAAAATAACGACTTATTTTCTTGTTGCCAATTATTATGCACTCTTCTCTTTTTCCGACCGTGGGAAAAATCAAGATTAAGATTGTTGTTGGCACAGGATCATTTCCTTCGTACGTAGTAACAATAGCGGAAGATGAAGCTGAGTACCGTACTGGTACTTGACTTTCATTTCAGTTATCTTCATTATACGAAACTTTTCACCTCCAGCTACTAGACACCTGTCATCCGACAGGAAAATCAGAGGGCGAAGAAGAACCCCCGATGTCAACCGCCAAAGAAGAATGCAAGTACTATGAAGATGAATTTATTAGTCGAACTTTTTTTTATTGTTATTTCCTTCCCCCAATTTTAATCTCGAAATGTTGATCCCAAAAATATGAGAATAAAGCATCTGTAGTATAGTGCTGCACCCTTAATATTCACTGCTTGTCATGATGTCATGTCAAGCCTTGGAAATTATCGATCAATGATAGTTAGATGTTGAGGACTGCTTCAGCAAAGATTGATCATTCACTTTGGGCGGCCGATAGAACAAGAAGAGACGCAAAATAGGAGTCGCGTCTTTTCTCCTTCGGTCCTCACGAAGATGGAAGACCGAGGGACACCCACGAAATATGATAATGAACTGTCGATAAATACTCTTTTCTCCTACTCGTACAGCATTCAAGTCTACTAGTGTGCTAGACCACGACACACAGCCGGAGCCCTAGTATGACGAGATTTATTTTCATCAATGGTTGATGCTGTAGTAACAACGCTAATCGCTCAATGGAGTGAAGGGATTATTTTTATACCCCAATACAGAAATAACAACATAGCGAATGAAGCAGCGGCACAAGCCCAACAAGTCAACTTCTGTTGAACATTGATGAAAATCAGCTTGCATTTTGAAAATCCCAAAGACAAAGCGACCACCCCCCCTTTCTGATGTATACAACCTTTCAATAAATGAGGCGAAAAATTGAAGATTGCTACGTACATCCCAGTCGCGGCGATAATTCTTGCAGGAGGTCCTATAATTTTTTCCACCAGGATCGATAACGACAAACAACACCATCTAAAAACACCGCAACGTGAAAAGAGAAACTACCTCACAGTTATTTCTCTTGATCGTATTTGACACGGTACTACAAGCACAACTAGCGAAGCTCGAGCACAGTATTTGAGAACAAGGACAAAAAATAGTACTGTATGCGACGATAACGACAGCACGTGTTTGATTTATCGTTCGACTATGATAAACGAGAAAAACAGGTCATCGTATCAGGAGGAGCGTACAGATATAAGATCCTAATACTAGACCAATCTATCATGCTTTATCTACCGAAAATTATCGGTAATGATTTCCGCATGATAGTATCAGTATCCGGGAAGAGGATACATCTCGGAGGAAGAGAAGCCAAGATGCAGATGAGGTCGACTTCGTCGATCTCACTGCAAGAAAACGATTGATGGCGTCAAATACGAAAATTGATGTCCTTTACGATCAACTCCTCCATTTGTGATTTCACTTTATTTGAAAAATCAGCGAAGCAGCTTTTGCGCGGCAGGCAGGTCGCATTTACTTTGGCGGCACCGCGCGCTCCTGTGTTCATCATGCAATCAGTCTGATGTTCTGAGTCTCATAGCCAGACTCCTTGATCTCTCACTCTGTCTCTGCCTAATAGGCAAAAAATAAATCTGCTTGTACGAAGAGAGACTACTAAGAGAGGCGTTTTGATTTTGTTCCGATTATGGCTTTGAAAAATTACGAGCGAGATTGAACCACAATTCGGACATGTATAATGTTGTGATTGAACCATTCGATTCATCCCAAGAGAGAGGGTGCCACGACATCCTGAACAGTCTGTCGGTCTTTATTTGTGTCCACTTTGATAGACTCGTGTTTGACTAGTACATTCGTGCGATTGCATGTAATTCTCAATTTCATGATGTACATTGTAAGTGCTTGCATATCATCAAAACAGCTCTACCCCGCCGAAATTATCCCCTTGACCTAGCTACCCCCATCACGACCACCATTGTGCTTGTTCTGTGCCATTTCTCTCGACGAGAAGTCATGACGTGCTATTTAATGATATTGTAAAAGAGCTTGAGCTTAGTAAAGAAGTTGCACGGCACCACCCGTAGTTTATTTACCCGAGTAGAAATTTTATCAAATGTCCGGTGGTGGCACTTCGGTCGCGGTCGTTGTCGCGACTTCCCGCCGCCGGGGCGGCCCCGACTCGGTGGCACCTATCGGTGCAAATAGCAGAAGTCTCTGCGGCTGCCTCCCCAAATGGCTGCTTCCAAGAAGACAGGTGGTGAAAAAGCAGAGTCTGCTACGGAGCAGTGCCGGGAGGGGGAGTGCGGAGGAAGCGGAATTAGTGCAAGTGGTTCCGGATTTTGCGGTAGCAGGGACGGTCGCGACGGTGTCGACCAACGCGGGAGAGGGAACTACGGTGCTGTCTACTACGGCTAGCGCAGACTCTACAACAGCAGGAGATGGAGGAGCGACAAGACAACAAGCCGCAGGAGGTGGTGCGTCAGCATCTTCAACCACAGGAGCACGAGAATCCGCTGCAGAAAAAGTCGATGGAGCTAAAGATGGAAAAATACAGGTTTTCAGGTTTCACTCCGCCGTCTCCGAAGATTTGTTCGCCGAAGCGCAGCAAGAGGGCGAGGCGAGGAAGTCAGACGGCAGGCAAGAACCAATTTCACCACCGCTAGTATCCTGTGCAAAAGTATCGCGCTCGTACTAATTGCAAACATGCATGACAAATCTTCTTCCTAAGGTAAAACAGCATTACAAATTCCACTTTTCTTCTTGACAAAATTTGTATTGCAAATTTTCTACTGATGCGATACTTTTGCAATGCATAAACGCCAAAACCAGACGACATTTTACTGAAAGCGGTGAAGAAATCTTCGACCAGAAACCGGCTATCCAGGACGGAAATGGAGAACCAAATCCCGTTTTTAACAGCAGAACAGCAAGGACTTTTCGAAAACGATCCGTATCCTGTGGAAAAACGTCCCCACACCAGAGTTGTGATGCAAATGCGCAATGACAGGAACATTTGTAATGTGCATCTCCATGAGAGGCATTTGTTCCAATTGTGTTTTGGCATTTGTAATGCTGTAAACAGGTTGAGAAAATGGTTTTTTTATGCGGCTACCCTTGCTAACCCCAGCTACACACACTGTAGATGGAAACTTGTCATGTACAACTCCCAAAACTTGAACATTTGTGTTGCAGATTTAGCAACTTGACTATGGGGTGGGGACGTTTTTGCTTCGGATAATCCGTCAGTCATCTTCATTTTAACAAGAAGTAAGAACCTAAACACGATCGTTTACAGAGAACTTGACTGGAAGAGTACAGAGAAACAACCACCAGCATCAAGCACATCAGCGACAACTCCTTCTTCCTCCTCTTCCCCCAACAGGTATGGCAGCGTGAGAAAGAGCACAACCAGCACTAGTCCTCCGAGTTTTCTGAGAAATCAAAACGCCGCGGCTTGGAACAGCAAGAACTACAAACCGTTGGAGGTTTTCTGGCAAAGATTTGCGGACGAAGGGCAGCGGAAGCCGTTGACGTTCGTCGAACGAACCGCCGCCTTTGGGATCAAATCGCAAACAAGGATAAAATACGCCGACACAGCAACATCCACGCCGGACGGAGGGGCGCTGACCTTCTGGGACATCAGATTAGCCGCGAAAACGTCTATTCCTTTCACGCTGAGGCAAGTAATACCTCCCGGGGACGTGGGAGATAAAGATCTTAGTAGCGCTGGGAAAGCAACAACAGCAACAGCAGGAACATCATCTTCTGAAGCATCTGCCCCGACCAGGACACTACTGTATACCACGGTGAATGACAGCACGGTGATCATTATCAACTGTAAAAATGTCTGGGTCTGGAAGAGTCATGCTGTTTTTGCATGACACAGAAGGTCTGGCATGGAAGCTGTAGCATCACAGGTTTCGAGAACCTTCCGCAATGCCGAATCCGCATGACAAGTCCCCTATTTTGCTGACAAAAAGTGGGAGCTTTTGCTGCGTATGCATGAGAGACACTTCCGTGTTCTGAAATACGCATTACAAGTTGCATTTTTCCAGACCCAGACATTTTTACATTTGATAATCATCTTTCGCATCCACGTGGTTGCGAACGGGTTTAAGGTACGCATGGCAAATATGTCTGGGTCTGGAATAAAAATGGAACCTGTATTGCGTGTCTTGCACGTCTGTCAAATCTGTATTGCATGACCAAGAAAATAAGCCCGATCTCTTTTGTCATGCAAAAACGCAGTTTCTGATGCGTGCTACGCATGAGGAAGTAGCGTCCTAAAAATTTGTCATGCTTGGCTGCACTCAGGGGTACGCTCAACCACCGCCACTCAGCATTACAAGTTTCCAGACCCAGACATATTTGCACATGCATATGAGGTTTCAAACGTCTTCCTATACGGGTATGATCCGGAAACAAGGCGAATAGAGGTCGAAGATGTTTATAACAGGAGGATCGTTTCTAAATAGTTATAAGTTTTTCAACAGAAATTTATCATGCCGTGCTAGTGTTACCACCACTTCTAGATGATCCTGGTACAGCAGCAGTCGGTTTGCTGTCATAGCGGGCTTTGTCGGACACTCGTTCGGTTCTCGCTACGCTGCTATCAACCAAATTTCGCCGTCGCGAACGCGCATTTATTAACAGCCGTGAGCATTGGTTCTGCTTCATGGTCATGGATTTTTTACTTCATCTCGAGAATCATGCAAAAATGCAAGATGTTGCTGCAGTTTCAGCAACGCCGCATACGAGTGACCGATTCCGTGTTCTCCGCTTTGTTATTGTTGATAACATTTCGAGACTGAAATTGCAATCTCCGCCGTGCGTAGGTATATCTTTTTGCAGAAATGCGGTCGCTTGAAAAAAACATTCGGTCAGCAGTCGGTCTCTCGCTCCTTTTCAACTACGTGGTAGCGGATTTCATCACTACAGAAACTTCATTTATTGTTCAACTCGGTCTAGATAGAAGCAGTGCTTGTTTCTATTGCAAATTGTATTGTATTGGATCCGGTTTCTGTTGCAAATAGAAATACACAACATCAAAATCTTCGTGCCATTACGAAGCGTCTTCGCCAGGTCTTAGAGTTAATAGAGCCTCGATCTGCATAGTCTGTGCGCTCAGAGCTGCACAAGCAACCCGTAGCTCCGACTAGACTTGACAAAGTTTTATTTTGCGCGCATACGCACGACCCACGCAATTGACTTTTTTGCTTTACGCATACGCAGTACATGAAATTCGAACTTCTCGTCTCTTCTGCTTATCGCTCTACAGCGAGTATTGTGGTTATGGTTATGGTTTGACTTTGCGCTACAATCACCTTCGTCGTACTTGATCTTTATCCCAAGTAAAACTGCACACCATGACGAGTTCTCCCCCAGAAGTAGAATGTTGCACAACTCTACGCCGGGCCGCGATACCCTACGCGCAACCAAATCTAGTCATCAGACCGACTCCACTCATGCCAAAAAAAGTCCCGTACGTCTTCGCGACGTCCCGGAACATCCCCTTGACGAAAGACGAACTGGCCAAACTCCCAAAACTGGGTTCCATGCAGCCCGCCCACCCGCAGAGAGTGGACAATACCAAGCCGAAGACGAAGCAGCTGGCGGTCGTGCAGGAAATTCTGGCAGGAAGGGAGCACCATCAATCACTATCACAGGCGAAAAAGAAAGAAGGAGGTAAGGAGCAACAAGAATTGGGTGAATTGCTAAAAAAACGCGACGATACGGACTTACTGCTTTGGTCGTTAGATTCCTCATTCGTTTCAGACAGGAGTTGCGGCGCGTGGACGGCAGACAAGATGCTAATGAAAGTTTGGCGGTCGAAAATGCTGAGAAATGACGCCAGCTGGGACATGCTGATGCTGCAAGGCAAGAATGTCGGAGTTGATAAAGTCACACCGGGTTGTAAGAGGGCCGCGCTGGTGGCGCAAAGGAACAAGGGGCAAGAGAGGGAGGATCAGGGCCGCCCCCTCTCTGGTGCGAAGCAAGCTACAGCACCGGCTTCTGCGGAAGCTGCAGCATCCTCTACAACGATGGATGAGAACAGAACACAAATTGAGCGCTTGATTTATAAGCCGTTTACACGGACCAAAAGACCAGTCCATTACGATGAAAATTTCAAGGTACCCCGCTGCATTCATAATCAGTTCAAATGCTATAGGTGCGGGCTGTGAGTATCGGATTCCAACGCTCGTCCTGGTACAGGAAGAACACCGATTGCATGCTTATGTTCAGAATGAAAAACTGTGAAACGCATCGCTTCTGCACTCAACTTCGTGAGAAGCACATCGCCCTTCTGTTCTTCAAACTGTATGTTGTTTGAGCAGATCTGAAACACCAACACGCTGCTTAGTTGATACAGAAGTAGATCAGCTGCGGCTGCAGTCGTGTCTGTCCTGGACAAACTATTTTACCACGGTGCTTAACGTGATAGAGAGTGGAGATGGAACTTTCAAGACAAAGCTCGCTTGCTTCCAAAGTACTAGCCGCCTTGATTATACCGGCAGCCAAAAAGAACGCGAAAAGTTATTCCCCGCGCAACAGTACTCACATACTAGTTCGACCGAAATAGAAAGAAGCAAGGATTTTCTCTTACATTCCTCTCTAGAGATACACTCACCTTCTGTCGTAGCTAGCTTCCCCTCGTAATAAAGTACCTTTTTCCAGTCCACTCATCAGTAGAGCTAGAGCTACTCCTTTTAGCGTTTCCCTTCATCTCGTCGAATAAACACATTTAGTACAGACAAAACAGCCTTACCAACAAAATGTCGTCCCAACACAAGTTTGAGGTGGAATACGCCAAATCTGCCCGGGCCGGGTGCAAGCACTGCAAGGGCAAGATCGACAAAGACTACCTCCGGATCGGCCACTCCCAGGATATCCCAGCGGGGGACGACGGGGTTAAGAATTACGCCATGATGGGCACGAAATGGTACGAATATTCTTGATCCTGGTCACGATAAGCCCCTGCGCATGACAAACTCTCCTCCTCGCGCGGCTGCAGCATGAGGAATTTACTCGCCTCGCAAGGAGGTCGTGAACGTGATCGCCTCCGCATCAAAACAAACGCGACCGCGCGCCCGCTGCTTCACTCGTTGCCACAGCCCGCGCGCCCGCGCTTGCATTTCTTGCAAAACAGCTTTACGTCGACCATGGTAGATCGTGGTAGAAGTCCACAAGTTGTACATGATTTAATCATTTGCCGCGCATGATTATGTCCAGTATGGTCGGTTGTTCTTATGCACACAACCTGGATTTTATTCGCATGAACATGATGAGATGAAACTACTATGCTCGTGACAACTACTTGTGCAAAAATGCATTCAAAATCATCAGGTACCACTGGGATTGCTTCCCAAAGTTCAAGGGCCAAAAGTTATCAAATGCAAATATGTCTGGGTCTGGAAGGTTGGAAAACTTGTCATGCAGGTTGTCCATGACACGTGAGGTCTGTCATACATGACCCGGCATGACAGATTCTGTCTCTGCATGAGAAACTCCCTCTCAGCTTGGTTTGGTCAAAAGGGGACAGCCTCTGGCAATCATGCAACACAGATTTTTGCACTATCCAGAATTAGCATGACAAGTTCCAACTTTCCAGACCCCGACATATTTGCGATGCACAAAAGTGGTTTCAGAACAACCTTTGCGCCGTCGACGACATCAAGGGGCTACAAGCACTCAAGTATCCTGTGCAAAAGTATCGTATTCGTATTGCAATCATGCATTACAAACTTTTTTCTCAAGGTAAATCCGCATTACAAATTTCATTTCTCATGCTGAGGGAATTTGTCATGCATTTATACGAGTACGATACTTTTGCAGTTCATATCAAGCCGGAAGACGCGAAAAAGATCACGGACATGTGGGCACTGTTGAAGGCGGGTGGGAAGTTGGAAAACATCCCCAGTCCGGCGAAAGGCGGCGCGAGTAGCAGTGGCGCAGCTCCTGCAGGGGGAGTAAACCCACCAGCAGCTATCAACTGCAAATATGTCTGGGTCTGGAATGTTGCCGGGTTTGTCATGCATATTTTGCATGACCCAGGAACAGGATGTCTGTAATGCATGACCTAGCATCAAAGATTTTTAGAGCGCTTCCTGATGCCTATACCGCATGACAAATGCCCTCCCCGCGTACCGCGAACTAGACTCCTCTTGCTGATCGTGCAATACAGATTTTTTTAGAGTCCAAAGTTAGCATCACAAGCTCCAACCTTCCAGACCCAGACACTTTTGCATTTGATAGCAGCGGGAGGAGTGAAGCGACCAGCGGAGCAATCCCTTGCTGAGTTGATCGAGGTATTGTAAGGAAAAATCCCCCCTCCCCATATCGAAAAGGAGGGGGCCACAGAAAATTTGCAATGCTGATTTGTGACCACAAATCGTCTCTGTCTTGCAAGAAGGCAACCCCACAGGCTGCGCCGGTTTGTGATGCGTGCGGTTTGTGATGCTGTTGGGCCTACACTTTGGACATTTGTAACGCTAGGGCTGCCCTCTGTCAGAACCTCGCTGCCCAGGGTTGGCATTATATGCCTGCAGTCCTCTACTGCAAGACAAATCTGATTTGTGTACGCAAATCCAGCATCAGAAGTTTCTGCCTTTGATGTGGGGAGGCGGGATTTTTCATTTTGATACGAGGTCCAGGGCGTTTTGTCCGATGCGGAGTTTGCGGCGATCAAAATCGTGAAAGAAGAGATCCGAAAGAAGACCGTTGCGCAACTAGGCGCTATGCTCGCGACCAACAAACTCGCGAAGTCGGGGCCAAAACAGGAATTAATCGATCGGGTAGCGGAGGGGAGGGTGTTAGGGGTGTTGCCGAAGTGCTTTGTGTGTGAGAAGGGGAGCTTGAAGTGGTCAAGGACGGATGGGAGCATACGGTGTGCGGGTATGTATAATTCATAGTACTTTGCGCATGGGTTGTAGAGGTGCTTTTTGTCATGCGAATTGTGCATGTTGTTCATCATGATAAGTGAAACTACTCGTGCATCTCATGCATTACAAACTTCAGGTTTCTTCGACGAGGCAGCTGGCCGGATGACGCGATGCAAGGGTCCGCCAAAGGACGAGAAGATCGAGCGGTTGGCGTGGAAAATGGACTGAAGTTGAAATATCAAAATCGTTGACAAGACTACAACAGTACTCACTCGCTTTTTGTTTTTCTACGCGACGCCTAGGCTTCACAGAAACAAGGCTTTCCAAAAGACAATGCGATCTCGATGTTCTGAAGAAAAAGTCAATAAAATCCAGAAAAGATGAAACACACACAGCAAGAAGCTCTTCTTGCTAGAGCACCAAATTCAAATGAGCACAAGAATCTCGAAAAACTGTTCTGACAACCCTGGAAGATCAGTCGGATCCCTTGTTTATTCGCCTGGTCAGAAGCAGTAGTTCTGTGGTGGAATGAAATTGTAAGTTTTGTTGCTGATCCCAAACAGAAAGTTCATCAATACGACGGCAAGCATCAGCTTCTTTGATCCTGGATCAGGTGGCCGTGATCTGCAGACGGAACAAATCTTCTGATCTGCGCTATGCATGTGAGCGTGCGGCCCCGTTGAGGTTGTGTCTGAAGTTTGAAAGATGAAAATTAAAGTGTTTTTAAACCGATCACACAGGCAGAAATAATGGTCGCTGGTGTTAGGTTCTGGTATGTAAAGACGCGTGTAGTATTTTGGTGTCCTTAGGTCTTGCTGTATCAAGCTTCTGTTTCATGTTTAGCTTCATTTTTCGTTTCATTTCCACGTAGAAATACTGGCAAAAACGCATACCTTCCTCACGCCCTACTTCTAAAATGAAGCCTAACGACGACGACCCCGCAAGTAGCCTCCCCGCACCAGATAAAAAACCTTCCTGCTACCGGCTCCAGCCCCTCCCCAACGCCGGTATCGGGTGCGTCACAACAAAGTTTATCCCGAAAGGGACGGTCATTATTGAGGAAATTCCGGTGATTACCGTGTACGGCCATGAGTTCTCGCCCGAGGGACTCAAAGACCTGGACAGCGACAGAAATAATGACGAAAAGGAAGCCTTAGTCGAGGGGAAATTTCAGAAACTCTTGGTCGACAGCACGAGAACGAAGATAATATCAACAGCTGGTGGAACAAGCTCAAGCAGCAGCTGCGCAAGCAGTTACTACAAGGACCTTTCTCGCCGGTTCAACTGCAATCTGTGCGAAAACGACACGGCTGACGAGTATTTCCCGGAGTGTTTGACCCCGGCGGAATATCCTGTGCAAAAGTATCGTACTCGTAGTATTGCAATACAAATTAGCTCAGCATGTGCATGACAAATCAATTTGTCATGCTGATTTACCTTAACATGTAGATTTGTAATGCATAAGTGCGAATACTACGAGTACGATACTTTTGCACAGGATACGGAAAAGGTCAAACGCATGTACGACATGTTCGCAGAAGAAGATGCTGGTGATACTGATGGTGATGCGAAACCGCATGAGAAATCCGATGGCGCCATCGCCAATGAAAATCCGCATGACAAAAAATCCGCCTACGGAATTTTCCTCTCCAACGCGTTTTCCTTCTACAGCGACCAGGTTTTAGGCTTGGGAGAAAACAACAACAACGGAACAACATCAAACGAAACTTGTCATGCAGAACAACACCAGCCAACGAGCAAAAACATATTCTGTAGCAAACACGGCAACACAAACAACGCGAGTAACAACGACAACTCGAAAGTGACGGTTGGATTGTACCCGCTTTGTGGGAAACTGAACCACAGTATGAGAGTGCACAACTCCCCCTCCCCCTCATTTGTATTGCATGAACAGCAATACAAACACCAGCACACGTGGAGCCTGTGCATGACAAATTCATGCGCCTCGTATAGTACTGTTTGGGCTTCCGAAATCTGTCATGCAAACAGTGCCACAGGGAAGCGCTTGGAAATGGAATTGGGGTTTTGCATGACAAATGAGGGGGAGGGGGAGTTGTGCACTGTCATACACAGCTGCAGTGCGAACTTGGACTTCACGCATGAGAAACTTCGGAATGTGGACCTGGAAGACCACTACGTGGAAGAGGATCCTGAAGTTTGTCATGCAGAAACACGACGACCAGATGAGCAGCAGCCCTGCTACCTGATGCGCGTTTTCACGACTAGGGATGTCCAACCCGGGGAGGAGCTGTGCATCTCGTACAACTACGAGCAGTGCTTTGAGCCGAGGAAACAAAGGCAAGAATTCTTCCGCTCGAATTTCAGATTCGATTGCAGTTGCGAGGCCTGCGGAAATAATGTCACCGGTTGCCGCGAGGGCGAAGTTTGTGATGCAGGCTGCGAACATACCGCCACACTAGCAGCAGCAGACGTACAGCAGCAGGAAAATAGATCAAACTACATGACAGAAAGCGACAGAAACCGGCGCACCTGCCGGGAAGCGCAGCGGCGTGTCATTGAGCTGCACAACAGCAATGCTTTGGACGACGAGAAATTACTCGAGCGGGGGGTTGCGAAAGAGATGATAGAATTGGTCGACGAGGTGATTTTCCCGTTATTAGTATCCTGAGTGAAAACGTCCCCACCCCAGAGTTGTCATGCAAATCTGCATGCCAAAAAAGTCTCTCATGCGGAGCCCCATGAGAGACATATCCTAGTCATGTTTTGGAATTTGTGCCGCTAGAATCAGCATGACGTGTTAGATCTGTGATGCTTCTGAACTAGCTAAAAAGGACTACTCTACAAGGACAAATTTGTCATGCGAAACAACCAAAGCTGGTTGATTTGTCTAGCAGATTTCCCATCTTGACTCTGGTGTGGGGACATTTTTGCTCAGGATAATTAGAGAAGGAGAAGCTGCTCAGGCCAGAAGACATTCGAGATTACGGGAGAATCGCCGCGGAGTGCTGCGATTTCTACTTCCGCGGGCCTTCCGAGGATGCGCGTGCAGACAATGCCGGAAGGTCAAGAAGTTCAAAGTCCACCGTCAACTACAAAGAGAAACTGAAATATGCCAAGCTCGGGTTGGAAGCCGCGAGGGTTATGGAAGCGAAACTACAGGACCGAGACGACTACGAAGAAGAAACTGGGCCTGTGTCGGTGCAGTCCTGGAAGAAGATGGTCAAGGCGATCGAGTATCGAATGAAAATGGCAAGGCGGTTTGGGGGAAAATGAGGTTTTCTGTCTATTTTGCGGACCCTACAACGAGTTGTAGAACTGCAACTGGTACATTACCCAACACAACGCAAAAGTACTACAACATGAAAGCGACAATAACTTGAGTTGTACAACAGCGACTGTCGATTGATTCCAAGCAGCAGAAGAACAAACTGAGTGCAGCGCTTGCTCTATTGTGGAGCCAACAGTGGTCCTGTCCCTTTGGGAGCAAATTCGTTCTACTTCTCGGCTGCAATACAACGATGTTCTTCACAACAAGCAAAGTGAAAATTTTCGAAAAAGAGTTCCAGTTCTTCCAAGATCCGCTACGAAAATCTTTTCCTGTCCTCTTTCTGGATCAGAATCGAGTGTTGGCTCCACTTCAAAAAGATCAACACGAATTTTTATTTTTGGCAGCGGGTAGTTCTTCTACCTCGACAAAAATTCTTGCCATGTTCCGCTGCAATGGCAATTTCCTGTGATCACGTGATGAATTTCAATCTGAGTTTTTGGACGTAAATTATGATCCCACTCAAGCTTTTCGTCGAATCTGAAAATCTTCCCTTCCCACCGCAGCAATTTGGAACCAAATCTCGACAGGCACGATCAACATCTGCAAGGCGGTTTTTGGTGCAACGTAAAGAAACGTTACGAGCTCAGAAGGGAAAGTGTTTTTACTTCAGGTAGCGTGTAGCCTAGCACGTACTAAGTAGTTGCCTCAGCGACTTCAAATCACTTCCTCGTTGTATTTTAGATTTCCAAACAGGAGCAAAATGGCGAAGAAAAACAACCGCAACACGAAGCAGACGCATCTGCAGAAAACCTACCAGTTCGCGGAGGAGGAGAAGCAAAAGTTGGAAAAAAAGCGGCTCGCCAGGTTGGAGAATAAGGAGAAGAAACTAGCAGTCACCCAAGCTACTTCCGACAAAGGCAGCAAGGAACAAAATGGTAACAAGGTAACCATCAAGCAAATCGGAAAGGAGAACGACATCTTCGCCGCCTTAGACGGCTGCTTGAACAAGCTCCCCGATCGGGAAAAGAACTTCAAAGCGCCAGAGCCGGTTAATATCGATGAGGATATGGAAAATAAAATTCTCCCCGACAAACCACGTACGATCATTCACTCGCTGTTTGACCAGAAAAAAAGGATGAGCAAGCTCCGCCAGGTCCAGAAGAACGACGAGAAGAAGCGGGTGAAGAAGAAATTTTTGGCGAAAAAGAAATTGGAGGAAGAGATGGAGAACATGCTGGACGGGGAAGACAGCGAGGAGGCGGAGAAAAAATTTAACGATAATGACGATGAAAACGAAAACTCCGAAGACTTAATCACCGTCCGGCCAACGGAGACGAGGCGGGATATTAAGGTCAGGAAAAGGATCGAGAAGAGGGAACGGAAAGGGTTGAAGTACGTGAATAATAGTACTGGTAAGAAGAAAGAGAAATTGTCCGTTCGAGACAAGCGGATGAAAAAAGCGAAAACGAACAAGAAAAAGCTGAACAAAGCATCGGTGATTAAGAAGGGGGATAAGTGATTGGTGAACAGATGAACCAGTATCAGGCGCAGTTGTCTGTAGGACATAAGGGCTTTTCAGATGATGGCCTTAGACATGACATTGCGACTCGTTTTCAACGCTGAACTCTACTTTTTCCTTCTCATGCCTATTCACTCCTGTGCTCTTGCAAACTCAGAAAATAAAAATCAGCTGTTGTTTCGCTTGGCAAGGGATCATTTCGAGGACCGAGCTTTGTCTATCCTTCCAGTGTTCTGTGCACGCACTCTGCTTTCGATGTTCCATTGTGACCGCGGTGACGTCGCACCAAAGAAGTGCTGAAAGATCCTTTCTATCATCTCCTGCTCACCATCTGTTATTTTCACTGATTCAGATCCGCGCGTTTGTTGAAGAAGCAAGTTGAAGCTCTTTGCCCTTGCTTTTTGTACTAGAGGTGACCTGGAAGTAAGGTATTTGATCGACAGCACCCGTAGTGTTTTCTTGTTTACAACACTTTTTTTTGCAAAGGAATTTTCCCGACATGATTTCTCCGTGAAGCAGCAGCGGACATAAGCCATACATGTGGCGTCGATCTTATGCGCACTTCTTCTAGCGAGTTTGATACTCTTCAAAATTTTCACGGATTTTATGTTTTTATGTTTTCTCATGATCACCTTCTCCTCGCCACAAAACAGTAGGCCATGTGCGGGAACATTTTCTGAAAAACCTGCTTGGAGTGATCATATCCAATACAGCAAAGTACGCCTAGCTGCTTGTTAGCACGTTTTGTGAAAAATTCTGAATATTTGTTTCGGTTTTTCGGAACCAAAACCGCACATCGCAAGATGAGGTCCTCAAAAGGATCGGCAAGAAGTGGCAGGAAGGCCGCCGCATGCTCGTCGGCCCTCTTGTTTCTCCAAGACCCGAGTTTTCATTCGATGGTGACCCTTGTAGAAGGGTTAGGTCGCATCAAAGTCGGGAAAAAAACTTACCACGGAGCCTCCTGGGAGCAGCAGGCAGGACCTGCTTCAGCTCCGCACCAACAGCAACACCATCAATCGCGACAATCTACTACAGGACCCTCAGCTTCTGCACTTCCCGGCACGATCAGGTTCGCAGCACCCCAAGGTCCTGCAATGCACCCGCAGCACTACTACCAAAATCAACCGCGAGCTGCAGCTGCACCAAGCGAGACACCTATTGTTGCCCACCTTGACATGAACCCGGAGCCGCCGACAGCCGCTCCCTGGCCGCCATTTTCGGAGGTCGTCTCGCGGTATCCGCTATCAAATGCAACTATGTCTGAGTCTGGAAGGGTGGAACTTGTCATGCTAACTTTGAACTCTAAAAAATCGGTATTGCATGACCAAGGCGATGGGTTACCCGGTCGGCAGAGCCGATCCACACGAACGAACGAATGACCAGCAAGAGGAGTCTAGAAGTCTGTGCTACGCGGAGAGGGCGTTTGTCATGCGGAGTAGGCATCAGGAAGTTCTCTAAAAATCTGTGATGCTAGGTCGTGCATATACAGACGTTCTGGGTCATGCAAAACATGCATGAAAAGTCTCAGAATCTTCCAGACCCAGACACTTTTGCATTTGATATCCGCAACCAAAGGCGCGGGAAGAGCAAGTAGAACAGGTTGCGGAATACTGGAGAAAAAACGTTGGCCACAACTACAACCAAGATCGGCAGGAGCGCGACGGCAACGAAAACCAATCTTGGGCGGCGTCGATGCGGGCTATGCATTACAGAAGTATCGTACTAGTATAAATTGCATCACAAATTTTGGCAAGAAGAAAAGCGGAATTTGTAATGCTGTTCTACCATTATATATAGGAAGAAGATTTGTCATGCATATTTGCAATTAGTACGAGTGCGATACTTTTGCACAGGATACAGGCCGAACATCAACAAGAACAACCGGGGGTCCGTGCGTTCGGAACAAATTATAACGGGTCGTATAAGACGACGAACCACTACTACACAACAGCAACACAAATGACCACTCCGGGCCCGAAACCCCACCCGTACACGACTTGGCGGAAATTCGGAAATAGTCAGCCCTACAATGACGACGACGAATTAGTGAGAGCCACGACTGCACCTGGTGGACCCTCTGCCACTGCAGCAGTAGCAGCTTCTGGATCATCACGAGCTGCGGCGACAGTCCCTGTTTCCGGCTTGCCCTTGCAATCCATCAATCGTCGACCGGAGTTTGACCATCCCCACTTTTATTCCCGGCAAGGGTCGTACAGTTACGACCCCGTGACAGCGATCGACGAGGAACAGCTGGAGGAGGGCAGGATGAGGATGACGGTCGGGAAGTACAACAATGCTGGGTTTGGCAGTGGTGGTAGTGGTACGACGACGACCCCTGCTGGATTCAAGTGGAAGAAGAAGGAAGTCCAGAATGGTGGTCATAGTGGTACTTCTGCTGCGACTTCTTCTGCTGCGGAGCAGCAACAGAAAGATGAACATCAAGACGTAAATACCTGGAAGAGCTATGACGACGATTTTTGGACGGGATACAGCTGGGGCGGTACCTACAGATCCGATCAAAAAAATTATGACAAACAGCAACACGAACACCACAACGATCTTCTTCTTCCCTGGGTACAAAAAACATCTTCGAGGCCGTACGATTAATGGGCCCCCTTTTCGATACCGAAAAGGGGGGGGTAGGTACGGTCGGTCGTCTGGCCGTATCCAAAAGCGACCACTTCCACCCTCGGGACCCGACCAGTTTTCGAATTTCAAAAATCAAAATGTCAGCCCATGACCCCCTACACGCCCCGAAGTAGGTTTTTGCTTTGTTGACTAGTTGCGGCGCTTTATCAGCGTATAGCCCCTCTATTAATTGCGGTTTCTGGGGTGTGGTTAGAAGAGGAACAAGCACGCAACAAAATCCAGTTGCAAAGTTGATAAACTCAACAGTTCCTACAGCAAGGCTGTCAGCAATTTCCCCACTCTAGTGTCATTCAAGTTGGCAAGCACTTGATTACTTCAACCGACAAGCCCCTCTAGTACTTCGCTGCTCTTTGCTTTCCAACCTTCACCTAGTGTGATCTTCTTTGGATCAGTCTCAAGTTTGCGAGTTCCTCAAAGTGCTTCATGTCAAGTTTAGGAGTTTCTAGTACTCGCATCATGAGTGATAACGAAGAGCCTGAACCTGAAGCCGCACCTCGATCAGGAACGGTCGGCGTTGACGTCGCGCAAGCATACACTGCTGCGCGGCAGCAGGAAGGGAATCAAGTGCATCAGATTGGCGTTGGCAGCGCTGGCACTACAAGTGTAAGAAACGCAAGCCCTTTCAGGGTGGTGGGCCCGATAAGTGCCCCATACGGGTCGACTCTTGCAACAATGCAATTCTTCAACATTTTTCAAGTCCTCCGGGCCAACTTGGTCCGGCGCAGTGTGGTCATTAGTCGAGTGCCTTCTCCTGTGAATTTGTTGATGATTTTCTCAGTTTCACATCGCAACGGCCAACCAACACGGTGGCAAGACCTCTGCCTGCGCCAAGAGCTATACAGACTACAGATGCAGTTGCGGCCGCTTTTAGCGATGGCGCTACATCGTCAGAAGATTCGTGTACGTGAGTGAATCTACAAAAACTGCAAGTTACGTCATTGCCCCCGCGGTAGTAAGTCTCTGTCCGCGGCAGTGCCAAGGATTTTACAGATGGAAGTGTACTTACTTGAGCTTAGCCCGACACTGGGCCGTCCCATGTCCGAGATCCATCGCGTTATGCCGCGGCGTAGGCGAGTGGATCAGCATAGGGTGGTGCGGTAGCGGAGCTATCGCGCATGCAAACATTTTGCGCTGCGCATGGCAACGTAACTCAGGATTGTAGCTATGTGCCTCGAGCAAGTTTTTCAACACGAACACCACAACGATCTTCACTGGGTACAAAAAACATCTTTGCAAAATACCGCTGCAGCTTCCTCTGCAACTCCAACCCGCGACGATCACTACGCTTCCTGGATCACCATGCAGCCACAAGGCGTGCACCAGCCGGCGCAGGCCACGAGCCAGCATGCTGATAGTGCTAGTGCAGCAGGAGGAGCGGCGACTTTCACTTCTCCCTGGGACAATTACCAGCCGACAGGAACAACGACAACTAGCGGTAGTTATGATTACCAGCACAACACTGCCCCCTCGGCGGCCAACGCTGCCAGCATGGGAGCGACCGGCAGTGATACACAACAAGTGATGTCGACAGCGGCAACTGTCTCCAGCGGCGCAGCTATCAAATGCAAAAATGTCTGGGTCTGGAAGAATGCGCGATTTGTCATGCAGCTTTTCCATGGCCCGCGAGGTCTGGAATGCAGGACCTACCATGACAGATTCTGTGCGATCTCTCTCATGCCTATCCTGCATGAGAAACTCCCTCCCGACTTGGTCAAAACTGGACGACTTTTGTGAATCATGCAACGCAAATTTTTGCATGCTTCAGATTTAGCATGACAAGTTGCATTCTTCCAGACCCAGACACTTTTACATTTGATAGCAGCAGCAGCAGCCCAAGAAGTAGACCAGCACCACGGAACGTACGCCTCTGAGGAGTCGGAAGACTCGGACCTGCGTCCCATATCCAGGAAAAAACACCCATCTCCATCCATTTTTTGTATGACAAACACTGGGGCTGATGCATTTTTTGCATGACAAATTGGATGGGGATGGGTGTTTTCTCCTGGATATCCCAACGGCTTCGACGATTACTACCGATACGACACCCCGCCCGACTACTCGACGTCAAAGAAGACAAGCGGGCATTACTCCACGGCCAGTAAGAGCGGGCCCCCAGGCGTTTGGGTGACGAAAACCTCTACGGATGCAAGCCATGCTAGTAGTGCTAGTGCTTCAGCTGAGACTACGACGACGAATGGGGGCAGATGGAACAAGAATCCGTCTTTTCCTACCGAAACAAACAGCGCAGCGGACCATGAATTAGACCTGAAGTTCGACCCCTGGGAGTATTGGGGCCACCGTGTTGACACACCAGAGGCGGATCTTCTCGATGATGACCCTTGGGCCGAGATGGTTGCGCAGAACAATGAACAAGCGGCCATGAAAGAAGCAGATCGGGTGGAAAGGAAGAACAGCGCGAAGATGATGTTGAAAAATGAAGCCCCTGCAGGTACTAGTTCTGGCTCTTCCTCTTCAAAAGAGCAAGAAAAGCCTGTTTCATCATCTTCCGCTGGCCGGCAACAGGTGCCGCCGTCCAAGACCCTCTCTGGGCCGAGCAGCGGTGCAACAAACCCCTTTGCAGATGTTTGGTACCCATCGGAAGGAGGACTTCCACCGGCTCGGGACCACACGACAACTCCTAGGTTGAAAAGTAAAGGGGCCGTCGACGCTTCTCGCCCAAAGTTTCTGGAAGAGGCGTTGCGGAGGAGCTCCGCAGACCTTTCTGAACAGGATGAAGAAATGCGGAAGAGGCAGCTGGAGAGGATCGAAAAGTCGAGGCAGGATTTTGCGACCGCACTGAATTTGATACAACAGCAGCAGATGGGAACTTCTGCTACTTCTGGCGTATAATGCTTTTACGACATATAATTTCAACATGTTGATGAATGTGTATGTTCTGCCTCGTTGTAACATTTTCCGCATAATGTTGCAACAGAGTCTCAGCACAGCTTTGACTTAGGAGAGTGGTTCTGATAGCCACTGAACCTTCCCTCCTGCATAACTTCACCATCAACCCTTCACAGGCTGCCGCTGCGGCTGCCTCGTCTCCTTCTGTCCCTACTACGCCGTCCGCGCCTACTGCCGCCGTCCCGTCCAGCCCAGCTGCAGAACTTCTACCAGCTTCCACCCAGAACAAGGGCCAACAACTTCCCCCAGATTGGGTCTCTCTATTCGGTGACGGACGGCGTTTGCGTGGGCTGAGGAACAAAACCCTTTCTCCACCAACTGCGGGAAGGGTGACGTCCACCACTACAGCAAAAACCACGCACAAAGCGGACGAGGAAGGGAAAAGAGGAGAAATCGCGCAAGAAGCCGCGACGGAAACTACCCGTGCGGACGACCCGATGGACGTGGACGAGGAAGCAATTGATGTTACGGAGAGCCGCCGCCGTCAAGAGGAGGACAAAAGTACAGCTACAAGCACTTCTACTTCAACTGGGAAAAACATTAAAAAAAGCATGGAAACAGACACGAACCCGGACCACGGCCGAGAGATGTACGAAAAACAGCGGCTAAACGAGAGCCTCACGTATGCATTGCAAAAGTATCGTACTACTAGTAGAAACCGCATGACAAATTTCGTCAGCATGAAAAATGCAATTTGTAGTGCGGGCCTACCTTAAGATGTAAGATTTGTAATGCATGCCTACGATTACTAGGGATACTTTTGCGATGCATATCACGACCACCACAACGACACCCCGGAACAAACCTGGCCCGATCCTGCCGAAAGCGAAACCCGAAGCGGAAAGAAGCCACAACTACATGGTCGTCACACCCCTCTCCCCCTCCGCCTCTTCGGCCAGTCCGAAAAGTTCATTATCCCGAGCTAGCACTTCTTCTTTGTCTCCCGAAATCTCCGTCCCGAGACCGACTTTCGTTTTGAGTAAGCAAACCGTGCAGGTGGCGAATAGCGACAGCAGCAACGCAAATAAGAATATTGAGTCCTCTGATAAGGACAAGAACGCTGTAGTGTTTCATCAGGCGGTACATCAACCGAAAGTTGTGGACAAAAGTGTTTACCCGTTCACCACGAAAAAGAAGTTTGTCTTTGCGGACAAGCACAACGAAGAAGTCGACGCGATGCGGTTACTTGCGAAACTGCAAGAGGAAAGTTCCGATAAGAAAACGACACTGATTCCGAAACCGGTAGTTGACAAAGACTTCCAAACAACGATTGTGATGACGAAAGCGTCGAAAACTACAACGGGAAACGTCGGGAGTCCGAAGAGCGAAGGCGGTTTATCGACAGCTGCGTCCTCCTCATCTCCTGCGACCACTTCCTCTGCCAGCACCTCTGGAACGAGCAGCGACAGCGAGAAGGAAAACAAGGAAAATGTATGAGAGTGCACAACCCCCCCTGCTCCCCCTCATTTGTCATGCAAAGTACCTAATTATACGCCTTGGCTCTTGGCACTGTTTGCATGACAAGTTCTGGCAACCCAAATAGCACTACGCTCCTGTCCAAACTTGTCATGCAAACCCTGCATTCTTTTTGACACTTGTTGCTGTTCATGCAACACAAATGAGGGGGAGGCGGACTTGTGCACTTTCATAAAAAGAGGCTGCGAACTACAAGACGGGGCTGCGGGTGTTGTTTGATATGTTGGATGAGGGGAATTGGAAAAATGTGGATGAAGTGGAACCGATTTTGTTAGATGAGGAGCCGGGTCTTGTCGGTGCGGAAGGAGTGCAGCAGGAGGGGGAGAAGATTGGTACAACTGCAACTCTTGAAGAGGGTCGAAACAAATAGAAAAGAACCTCGTTCGTTTGTTTCGAGGCGTTTATTGTTCCGTACAGAAGAACGAATGCATTTAGAATTAAGGAAGGTTATGCATGATCACCTTCTGTGATGGTAGGTACAGCTACAGATGCATGCAGCTTATTTTCACCTCCTGATGATGGTTCACAGGTGCGATGAAAGCCGTCGACAGAGCAGCTACTGCTGGCCCAGCGACGGAGGACCCAGCTTCCCCCTCCGACGATCTCGACGATCTCGACGCCGAGTGGAGTGAGTTGGGCGACAGTTTCGAGAAGTTGGGCTTGGAGGATCAGTATGAACTGCAAAAGTATCGTACTCGTATAAATGCATTGCAAATTTCCTCAGCATGAGAAATAAGATTTGCAATGCGGATTTACCTTGAGAAAAAAATTTGTAAATGCATGACTGCAATTACTACGAGTACGATACTTTTGCACAGGATAATCAGCGTGATTTGGAATTCGAGAAGCCCTGGGAACTGGTGCATGTATGAAAGTGGAAACAGTGAAGCTTTAACAGTGCCTGTGATGAAGTGTGTCAACATGCTGGAGGCTCCTACACTCCCTGCGGGTTTGCATGACAAACCGCTTTGTCATGCATAGTGGACTATGCAGAAAGGACACACAACCACACTTGCTGTGCGCTACAAGATGAACACAGGTCGTTGTATCGAGCAGCTTTCACTTCCACACAACGGGGCGCATTCCGAAGCGGCCTCCACGCAGGTGGAAGCCGAAGCATCGATGGGTGACAGCAACTGAGCTGTTAACCATCGTGTGTAAAAGCACAAACGACGGAACCAAGTCGTTCTAGATTCTCGTCTTTCTGTACATTATACAACTGGGTGCGAAAGTTTGTTGTTTCCAGCTTTATTCTCTCCTTTTGCAAGCGCGACAAAATGAACACTATAGTGGTTTTCTGTACAACTGCAGTTTTGGATAGAAAATGTTTGATTCGTAGAGGTCAGGTCGACGTCGACAACGGTCGTCGGAAAAACCTTTACACCTTACAGCAAGATTGATGTTTTATTCACTCGTAACAAGTTCCGATTTTGGATTGCTCAAAACAAGACCACATGCTTTCACAACACGTAGTCAAAGTTGTTTATCGCACGAGAATACTTTGTCAAATCAAAACTCACTCTGAGAGCAGATTCAACGATTCATAATCGCCCTGGCAAAATAATGATCACTAACGAGACAGTTCAAGTGATTGATTTCTACAGAAAAATGTGTTTATCATCTGCCGAAATCTCACTACTTCCGGCCGAACTTGTACTAGCAAATAATGATCCGCTTTTTACTTTTTTGCCAAAATCAAAGGCCACGACGAGCAGACAAGTTCGAATGCCCACGACGAGCAGAAAGCAGTTGCGGCTTGTTTGTCGCGACCGCTTTCTTGTTCCGTGCACAGTTCGTGAAGCGATCGCTGTGTGGTCCGCGTACATAAAAATCCATGCGATAATAGCCCTGTTCGTCGCGGTTTCGCATTGCGCAGGAAGTCCCGGAAGCGCACCTTCGCCTGATCCTCGATGCCCAGCCACGCCCACGCTTGTCCTCGTGTAGCGAATGCGTGAACAAGCACTGCAGGAGATCAGATGACGATGAAAAACAAGATCAGAAGATGCTGATCCATCTTCTCCGGTCGTGACGATTTGTGAACAATGTGATGCTGATTGATATTGCATCGTCAAGTCATGATCTTCCCACGTTATGATCCGGATCCCGATCGAAGCCAAGAGTGGACACACACGACCGGCTGGCGAACGTGTTGCTATATCGAAAGATGTCCGTTCCCGAGGCTAGCTGGTCCTGATCGTAAGTACTTTGTAGCACAATTTCGATAGGTGGTGCACAACATTCGTTCCACTCGCTCTGCGTGTTTCAACAGCATTCTTGCCCAGTTTTCCTAGCAAGGCCCCCCCCGACAAGTAGAATTTCTTTCCCCCAAGCTAGTGCTCTGTCGAGTTCCCGCTTATATTTTTCCCTATTCCCCAAACATGGATGCAGCAGTTCTGAAATTCGAATTTCAGGCAGTCCCCCCTTAGCATTTTTAAGTAGCCTCGACAAGAATTTTAGAAAACGGCAAGCTCCGACTTAGTAGAAAACACCCCGCGGCCCTTTGGGTTTGGGCAAGCAAAAATGATGCAGAAGAAGAACCCAAGGAATAAACCAGTAATAACATCTAGTAGGGAAGCCCCCGATCATGAAATGGACATGATCGACGACGACCAGCAAAAATTTCGCTGCGCCAAGTTCCACGCCTGGCTCCTCGAAAATGGCACGGACCCAGCAATGCTGGCCCAGACTCAGCCCCACGACTTCCCGGACACCGGTCGAGGTTTGCGAGCGAACCGAGCTTTTCGTCCGAACGAGGTGATGGTGCGGATCCCGGAAAAAGTGCTCTTGCGGACCGACGACTTTGACCACCCGGTAGTGCGGTTTTTCTACGGGAAGCTGATGGCGGCGGAGGGAGCAGATCATCTTCAGGCGAATAAAGACAAAAAATTATCAGCGTCTCCTGGGTCCTCGTCCGCCGCTTCGACAACAAGTTCAGTGCGTCATGACGGGCAATTGTCGTGGCAAATGCGGTTGCAGAAGAGCTGCAGTTCTTCGTGTGGTTTGTCCGGAACATCGTCTTCCAGTTCTAGCTCCAGTGGAAGAAGCAAACACGGAGCTGCTGACGTCATGAACTGCACCGCGGAAGATGTGTTGCTGGTCTGTATGCTGTTGTACGAGACACGAGTTGATCAGTGGAGCTCTGATGGAAGAGGTTCCAGTACTACTGCTTCTCATGGAGTCGTAGATGAAAGAGAAGTAAAGCATTCTTCCTTTTACCAGCCCTTCCTAAACATTTTGCCAAAATCCTATCCGGGCATTCCAGCGTGGACATTGTTTTCTACCTCGTCTTGTGAGGACGCAGCATATGCATTGCAAAAATGTCGCGGTCTGGAAACTTGTGATGCTAAAATGTGGATGACGGAAACAGTTCCGAATGCAAAACAGCATGACAACTTGTCAGAACACTTTCTCATACGCAATCCGCATGAGAAACTGCACTTTTGCATGTACAAAAGAGGCTGCGACTTTTGTTGGCTATGCAATACAGATTCCCTAGGTATGTTGGAGAGCTAGCATTACAAGTTCGAACCTTCCAGACCCAGACATATTTGTAGTGGATTCAGCAGCAGGCGGGTTGTTCATCCAGTCGTCGAGCAGCCACCTGGAGGTAGAAGTAGAGTCGAGCCCCCGCGAGAGTAGAAGTTGCCATAGCGAGGTGGAACAAGATGATCAGAAGACGAGAACGTCCGCCAAGACTTCTGCTACTTCGCCGTTATCTCGAGCTTTATCTTCGCAATCACCTGAAAGTGAAATAACATCATCGTCAAAGCGGGAGAATACAAGTACACGACAGCACATCCTCCCTCTGTGCGAAAAGCGGCAACAGAAGCTGCAGCGCGAATTCCAAACGGTTTTCACTGTATTTGAGATCGTCGAAGAAATTCTCCGGGATTTTTTCGAACAACATGGTGAACAAGGGGATCAACATTTAATACACGTCACAAAAGCTCCGCGACATCAAGCGGACGACTTCAATGCAGCAGCCGCAGCCGCGGCCTCGCCAGATGTTGCACATAAGATGAACAAAGCATCTTCCAAAACCTCACCTCGCTTAAACACCAACCGGTTCCTGTGGGCTTATGGCACGGTATGGACGCGCTCGTGTTTTCTTCGCGAAGAAACAGGTACAGCAGCAGCTTCAAAAAGCACTACAAAGAGCAGGAACCACACAACTTCATCTAATATTCTTGGCCAACATTCTTCGTCCAGAAAGCACCTCTGTCTCGTCCCCTACGGGGACTTCTTGAATAGCGACCTGAGATTCGCGGAATTGCAGGCGGATGACGACGAAGATCTTGTTTCTCCAGAGCAGGGACCGCTGCAACAGGACAGGGAAAATCAAAATGCCGACGTTGCTATGGGCGATGCAATAACCGCAGACGAAGGTGGAACAACACCAGCAGGAGCTACTGTCGGTGCTTTGTGCGGCTACGAGAAGGGAAGCCGTTCCTACACGTTTCGCGCCGCGAGATGGATCAAACGAAACGACCAGTGTTTCATCTGTTACAGCACGAAAATGGACAACTTCGATTTCCTCTGCACCTACGGATTCACCTGTCTACGCAAGGCGTTTTTCGACGTAGAAAAGTACCGGAAATTTGTCTTGCAGTTTGTGCTACAGGATCAGGCTCAGGATGAGGAACCACGAGATGCTGAAGTTTGTCCTCATGCGGGCCGCACTAGAGTCAACATGATCCTCTCGGTGTTGCAGTTGCACGGGTTGCTGTGCCAGGAGAACTGGTTTGTGGACTTGACACCATCGTCTTCAAGAAAAACGCAGAAAAATAACGCGGTAACAGACGGAGAAGTAGTAGTGGAAGATACAACAAACCGGTTGGAAAGGTACTATCACGAGAAAAAAGTGTTACAGTTACACATTTGTTGGAGTTTCTGCATCACAAATTTTCTCTGTGTGGCAGAGAAAACTTGTAATGCGAAGATCATAAGGGAAAACAGCAAGGAAACGAGGCGCCGAAGCATTTCCTGCATGAGAAAGGTTGTCTCTGTTGCCAGTCTTGCATGACAATATGTAACTGTAACACTTTTTTCTTGCGATAGGTACCGCTCGGTGTTTAGTCCGGCATTGTTCACTTTGTTCTTCTTGAATGCGCAGTACTACCAGCTGTGTCACCAAATAAACGGAGATGAACAAGATCATGTTGAAGGAGGTGGAACGTCTGTGTTGCCAACATTGCAGCACTCGCCAGATAGTGCAACATTATCTTCGTCGACGTCGAAGGCAACAACATCCAAGAAGCGCAAAAACTACGCTACAACCAACGGGACGCAGCAGCTCCTGCACGGAAAAAAGAGGCAGGAAAATAGAAGTTGCTCTCATGCGAAAATGGATACTAGATATGGCACAACAAGAAGGGCTCCAAGTTTTCCTTGCGGGGGTGGAGCTGCGCAGGTTCAGGATCTCGATCTCGAATCACAATTGGAAATAGCCTACGAGTTGGCAGCGGGATCAACATCTCGTTTCATCTCTAGAAGTACAGGATATCAAGTGTAAAAATGTCCGGGTTTGGAAGAATGCAACTTGTGATGCTGAATTTGGATTCCAAAAAAATCTGTATTGCATGAGCAGCAAAGGGAACGCATTTTTTGCTACGCGGAGAGGGCATTTGTCATGCCGAATAGGCATCGCGAAGCCCTCGAAAAATCGGTGATGCTAGGGCATGCATCACAGACATCAGGGCTCATGCAACACGTGCATGACAAGTCTCAGAATCTTCCAGACCCAGACATTTTTACAGTTGATACAGGAGCCGGAGCTACTACTTCCTCTTCTACTACCCTGCTAGAGCAGGACTTCAACGTGGTCCCCACTTCAACCCCGAGCTCCTGTCTGGAAAAAATGGTGGAACACCAGGCGAAGAAATTGATACAAAAATTGCTCCGAGACGAGTACGACTACGAGGAGGGTCAAGTTCTGGTACGAGAAATTGAGAAGGAACAAAGTAGCCGTGGACTATTTTTTTTGTCCTCAAATAATATCAAATGTAAAGCCAGCATGCGTACTTTCACTTCTTACCAGCAAGAACGACAAGAACTCTTGAGCCGTTTTTACGGTCAATCCACAAGCTGCCAGGATTTGCTGAAACAGGAAAGGGAAGCGCTGGAAGAAATGATAAAATAGAGATTAATGTGGATCATGACATCTTGGAGCAGTCTATAAGGTAAGAAGAAGGCTCAAGGTGCAATAATGTTGCGTATCATTTTCTTTACTTATATGTGGCTGAAACAATTGCGCCACCCTCATCGTGAGGAATTTTTTCTTTTTGGGGGTCACAAAATGATTGGGGTGTAATGGCAGAATGAGTGTTTTCGCATCGTCCCCCCTCACATCACCACCTCGCGGGTAAAAGGGAAGCGCGCCGTCTTTGTCTTTTCCGCTGCAAACTCCTACGCGACGACGGAGCGACGAACGATGTGAGGAGCTTCAAATAGACTGATTACCGAGGGCGCCCCGGCGTAGTAGACTCCGGATCCACCGGGCGCTTCATTGTCAGGTCCGCGAGCATGCTGTTAGTCGTTATCTCTCTTTGCTTTCTTCTCGTGCAGCACCAGCGGGTCATGGGCGGTCGCAGAGACCCGACCAGGATCCGCAGACCCCACCGAGCCTGCAATCAACCGGTAGCACCAGGCGACTGGGTCTTTGTACTGACGCAGAACTGTCAACGGGCAAACTTTCGGTACTTGGAGGGTGTTGACCAGTCGGCACCCCTCCAGCAGGTGCAACAGGCGGAGAAAGTCCGCGGTGTGTTCCAACACATCGCGGCTAACAAGGCGAAGGTCGCGCTCCTTTCCGACGTTCAGTGGAGCGGCGCACGTGGTGCACACATCAAGCGGTACGAGTTCACCCACGGCCAGCACTACGTTTATGGAGGAGGTAGAGTGGCCATCGTCTTGCACAAGTCCATTCTGTTCGCAGCGGATGGAAAATCTCTCATCAGACCGGTCGTCAAATTCTTCGGCCCCCGCATTATGGCGCTCTTCATACGCGGGACGTGGTTTGCGGTGGGATACCAGCCAAGCGACACGGTTGCGGACTTCGCAGAACTGGACCAGTTCTTGCTTTGGCGCGAAAAACTTTTGTTTGCGACAGGTACCAGCAGCATCATCTTCGGCGGAGACTTCAACTCAGCAATTTCCCAGTTGCCCCGAGGTCCAGAGGATGAAGAGGCAGGCGCTGCAGCGGCGATCGGCTCGGCCCTGCTGTTGGAACCACCCGCGAACCCCCGTCCGGGACATAACAACATGCGTTTTGCAATCGATAACATGTTGTGTATTCCGGACACCTTTAAGTCCATCCACAGAAGAGGCACGTGGAGGCATCCCGCGACCGGGCGATGGTACGAGATTGACTATTTCTACACATCGCGACAGGTTCATTTTGGAAACGTGAAGACCATCCAGCCCAAATTTCTCACCGACCACCGCGGCAAGCGCATGGCTGTCAAGCTAGGGCTTTCGCAGAAGGACAAGCGCGAAATCCGACGCCGAGTAATGACAATTACGCCGTCCCCACCGTATGAAGCGCTTCGGCGCGACGAGACAGCGCAGACGGCTTTTGCAGCGGAGACGGATGCCAACCTTCGGAAGGAGCAGCAGAACGGAGGCAGCAGCCTTGCCAGCAGGTGGGAAAAGTTCACGACAGTAGTAGCGAACAGCGCGACGGCGGTCGTTCCGGCAAATCAGGAGAGGGGGGCGCAGCAGTATCCCCCGTGGCTGAATGTACGGAAATTCCGCGAATACAAGAACGAAAAAGAGGACCTACTGTACTCCCGATTTCTAGCAGCGGACGCGAACGAGCGGCAGCAGTACAACAGGAGACTGCGGGCGATCGAGAAAGACTACCGAGCTGATGAGAAGTTGGACTTTGAGGACTACATCGACCGAATTGCAGACGAGTGCCAGGCGGAGTATGGACAGTGCGGTAGAATTGACTACGCAAGACTACGGCGCACAGGTGTAATCTTCGAACCAACGGCGGGAGCAAGGGTGAGAAAGGCGATCCCGTTCACCGTAGAAGACGCGAAGAAGCACTTCAGCAAGCTGATGTTGCGAACGGCAGAGGTCCCGCAAGGATTTCAGGAGGCCCTGGAGAGAAACCTGGACCAACTCCCGGAATCTGTGGACCCGATGTGGGGCATACCCGACGAAGGCGAGATCGCTCACTGTGTCAAACAGATGAAAGACTGCGCGTTGGGAGTGGACCAGATTCACATTGCCCACATCAAGCACCTCGGCGACGACTCATGGGATTTCTTAGTGAACTTGGTGCAGGATTGTTTCAGAACGAGAACGATTCCGGACGCGGCGCACTTGGTGCGCATGAATGCCCTCCACAAGGGGAAGAACCTTAATCCGCGGCTGCTAGACAACTACCGCGCCATTGCGGTGGCGACCTTTCTCTCGAAATTGTGCGAGACCATTTTGCAGAAGAGGCTCAAGCACTACCTCGAGCGGATCGGTTTCTACCGGGAGACAGCGACGCAGCGAGGATTTCGGTCAGATTGTTCGACGGCGGACTTGGTGATGATGTTGCAGTTCATAGCGGACCAGACGCGAACAGTAGTGCGGGAGTCGATACTGGATGAGCTAGTTCTAGTGTTGATCGACTTCAAGAAGGCATTTCCAAGCGTGATTCGGGAGCTTGTATACCGTATCCTGCGGCGTGCGGGCGTTCCTGGCACAAACGTGGAATTCCTGGCGCACTTACACGACAAGGCAACGTTTTACATCATGGTGGACCGCGAGCCATCTGAAGAGTGGAAAGCAACGCGCGGGATGAAAGAAGGAGGACCATCCAGCCCCGACGGTTACGGAATTCTGAGCGAGATCATGTATCGGGAACTGGCGCGCAGGCTAAACGGCATCAAGTTGGCAACGACGGGCGATTTTTTGTCGAAGCTTGCGGCCTTTACGGATGAGCAGAACATCAACCCCGCAGCGGTGCGCAAGGTGGTCGCCTTGCTTTTTGCAGATGATGCAACGCTCCCGACGACACTGCGGGAGGCGCCAATGGTTGAAAGCACGATCAAGGACGTAGCGACTACTTTCGGCCAAGAGGTGCACCCGGACAAGACGGAGCGGCTTCTACTGCAGGGACCACACTTCCACTACCCCGGCCCAAGACAGAAGGATGGGACCCCACCAATACCACCCGGATTCGAGGAAAAAGTAAAAGTTGTAGGATGCGAACTGTCTACGTACCACAGCGCAGGAGTGTGCCTGGAGCGGCACTTGAAGAAGGCGCGCGGAGCGTGGGCGGAGTGGAAGCCGATTCTACTACGGGCGCGCGGACGGATCAACTACTTCAAGCGAGGCAGCCTGATCAAATCCAATGTCCTTTCGCATGTCTACTACAGCGCGGCAGTGCGGCTGTGGAACGAGCGCAGTTATCAGGAAATCAATGTCTTCATCAACAAGATGCTGCGCACCATCACAGGCACTGCGATTCCGGGAATGGTTGGCGTGGCGAACAACTACACGCTACGGAGAAAGTTCGGCATTCAAAGTGCGCGAACAGCAATCGAGAGAATCACTATCGACTACCTAGGGCACAAGATCCGGATGGGGCGAGACGAGCCGGGCGAAGGAGTAGAAAAAGGGAACACGTACCGGGCTCGCTTCCCAGACGGGCGCACCGACCACCACCTGATCTACGGCAGATTGATCACGGTCTCGGCGGGTGCGCAAGGCAACAGGCGGATGCAGCGCAGGACACTAGCCAAGCAGTGGCTCGAAATCATGGCGCGCGCGCAACTCCGGCCGGACATGACACGCAAGCAGTGGCACGAGGCGGCTACGCTCTACATTCGCAAGATTGAGGAGCAAGAGCGCCTGGCAGCGTACGCTGCGGATGGAGCAGGAAACGTCGAGAAGCGGCGCGACGAGCTGCTTGCTAGTCATGGCGTCAACGCAGGTGCGAGCGAGATACGGCTGCGGAAGAACGTACACGAAGAGGGCGAGCTGATCACCAGCCACGCTGTTATCTCGCAGTACCGATGCCCGCACTGTTTTGTGCGTTTTCCAGACGGGGGCAGTGGCTTCAAGTCACACAAGACTAGGTGCTCCAAGGTCGATTATAGTGGTGTAGACTTTGGCAATGTCATTTGTATAAGGACCTATGCAGCAGGACGAACCCAGTTGCCATGGGGCAACCGTTGGCATTGTAAAAAGTGCGGCACTACTGGCACTGAAGGCAAGGCTACTAGTGGGCAGGGCGTTCAATGTGCATTGAAGTTGACGCAGCATGCTCAGACGTGTGACCCCGCCCAAAAGAAGGGGAGGCGGCAGGACGAGGTCCTGCAGTATATGGCTGACTTGCAGGCGTTTGATGCTGTCAACCCTATTGCTGTCTAGTTCCTAAACACGATGCTAATGCAACTTTTTTGAAAAAACTTGCTTTCTCAGTTGTTCAGAAAAAATCTCCGGTGCGTGTGTTGTTGTTCAAAGAAAAAGATAGTTTGATGATTCCAATTTGTGCGCCCATTTAAGCAAGATCTGACGCGTGGCGCACACACCCACGCTTGTAGTGGCGCACACACCCACTACGACTACATAGTGGCGCAAATACCCACTCCCTGTAGTCCGTCCATGGTTCTGCTCTTCTCTTGTTTCTTCTCTGTCACTGGCCTACTGCATGTTGTTTGTTGATCGCTTGTAAATCTCGTTTTCCTGCACCCTAGCTAAAATTATTGCTGTATCTTCACCTGCTGTTGTAAGTATCTATTCCCCACCGCTGCACGACACGAAAAATCGTCTGCTCACCGTACGAAGATGCAGCGTCGTGTTGAACGCATCGAGAAAGAACGATGCTTGATGGTGCAGTTCAACTCTCCGGAAATCCGCTGGCCGCGGAAAGACAACTCCCCAAATGGTGACTTTTTGACGAACTTCGACAAGGAGCAGAAGAAGACCTTCCTCCGCCTGATGGGTACGCACTTCCAGGGTGCCCAGCCATCTCCCAAGAAGATGGAGTACCAAACCAAGGACGACGGATCGTCCGAGCTCACGGAGCTGCAGGACGACTGGTCCGACGCCCAGAAAGCCGACTTCACCGAAAAGAAGAATGCTTTTGTCGAACTGTGGCGGTCGATTGCGGACGCCCCGGAGTTGGTCGAGTACATCAACTGGAAAAACAACAACTGGATCCAGATCGTGTTTCACCTCGGCGAGCATCACAGTAAGGTGATGGATTTGGCCCGTGTTGTCGACAACAACCCCTACCGCAAGTACTTCAGTCGTGGTCTGAAGCTGAAGCCGATGCAGATGGGTAAGCCGAAGGATGGCGACAACGCTGGCAACGGCGGCGCCAATGGTAACGTCAAGAAGAAGGGCGGCAAGAAGGGCAAGGGGAAAAACGGGAAAAAGGGAAACGGAAAGTAATGACATGATGACGCTAATAATGTCTACCTGCCAGTGCGTGAATCTCATCTACACTTTCTCCGACAAAATCAACCACGCGATAACGACTACCAGCAAGCACGACAGTCCTGTGCGTGATTTCGCTGGGGCGCATGTTTGAAGATTATGAAGATTGAGAACTGGAAGAAATACATGCGTTCACAAATGAACTCCAATCACGTAATGGAGTGATGCAAACACTGATGGTGCTGCCTGGCACCACTTCAGCCAGGAGCACAAGCTGCTTGACGCCTGCAGTCAAGAGCTACGACAGACAAACGTTTTGAATTACGTGCTACGCACGGCAAACAGACTGTATGTGTGCAAATCAAATCAAATCAAATCATGACATCTTGATCTTCTTGTTATCGCGGCCCGAGATGAATTGTTGGTGGTCCGGATGTGTTCTTAGGTTTGTGCAACTGCATCAACATGTGGGTGGTCCGGAAATACAGCTCTGGCGAACAGAAAATCCGCCGTTTTACGGTTTTGATGAGGAAGAATAGCGCTACATTCTATATATTTTTCTTGGTCCTAGAAAAAAATATGTACCTGAGATCAGAATGCACATCATGATCGAAGATCCCAAATCCAAATGCTCTCGTGATGAAAATGAAATGACATCATGAAAACCTGCGATCCCAAATGTTGACATGATCCAGTATAAAACTACCACACTGCTGACACGGTGCACATAATTCACCGCGTTGAACATGAATCCTCATGCTGTTTCTCATTGTGGGCCTATCGGTCAAACAAGCACGCTACTCGGTATAAAGTTAGCAATTCAGAACGATGGCAAGAGATGACAAAGGACGAAGGACCAGCATCGATCTCCTACTAGCAGGGATTTAGTTCTTCTACTTCATCTTGCAAGTTACAGAAGAAACTTGTAGCAGTTTTTGTTGACATCATCTTCAAATCAGAAGTCTCTTTATTTACTCCGAACAAAGCCTAAGCAAAAGCACCATCATGTTACGTTTTTCTTCCTCCTCGAGAGGTTTGATTATTGCCGCCTCCGCGGTACTAGCCCGCGTCTACAGGCCCTTGCTACCCCGGTCCTCTCTAGGCCCCGTCGACGAGCTGCAGGCCCGGGCTTTCCCGGGGAGCACGGAAAGGGTAAAGGCCCTGCCAGACGATGTACAGGAGCGTGTGTGGCAGTATGTTCCCCGTGGCGCAGAAATGCACCTGCGCACCCTGAATCGGCCGACAAAGGCGTTCGCCGACCGCGTGAAGAAACTACCCTGGAAGGTGTTTGAGAGCCGCGACGAATTAGAAGCGGCCCTTGCGCCCTGGCAGTCGTACAAAGTGCCGGGAACATATCGTATTCAAAAACGCCTCCACCCCATAGCTGTAAATGCAACTCTGCATGCTGAAAATGTTTCTCATCCGGAGCCCCATGTTGAGAGGCTTTTCTAGTTGTGTTTTGGAATTTGTCATGCTCCTCTGATCAGCATGATATACTAGATCTGTTACGCTGCTGAACTAGCTCAAACAGCACTACACTATGGGTCGTCCAAAATTGTCATGCAGAACAGCCAAAGCGTGTGGGTTTGTCTAGCCGATTCCCCATATTGACTATGGTCGTGTGGGGACGTTTTTACTCAGCATAGGACACACTACGTCATCACTGTCGGTAACGAGGATTCGTACCTACGGTTACGCAGTATCCTGTGCAAAAGTATCGTGCTCGTAGTAATCGCAATCATGCATTACAAATCTCCATACCAAGGCAAAACAGCATGACAAATTCCATTTGTCATGCTGAATTGCAATTACCACTGGTACGACACTTTTGCACTGCATACGCAGAACGGACATAACATATCCGCATGTTTTTCCGCACTTGGAGTGGATCCGGACTGAAAAAAATCGGCGTCAGAAACTGCGCGAGGAAGTCGAGAGCACATACGGCCCGTCGCGCTTCTGGGATGTGTCAAACATTCTCTGCCTGAAATTCCTGTTCGGCAGCAGGGGCGAAAATAAATGTGACGAGCGCTGGGACTCTGGGCGTACTATTCCGCCTATCAACTGCAAACAGGTCTGGGAGGTTGTCTGGAAGATGATATTAATTGCAGGACAACTTGAACTTGTAATGCTAATGCTGAGCAACGAACTCTGAGGAGCATCGTCCCTCACCCTGAAGATGAGTCTACTGTCATGCATGTTGCGGATTTTTAGCGTTGCATTGCTCCTTTGATGTCATGCGCGAACACATTTTAATTATTCTCAGGGGCATCTTGTTCACACAAAAATGCTGTACTCTTAAATAAAGACCGCTTAAAGATCTTCATGTGATCTTTTGCTTGTCGTCGCAATACAAAAATGATGTCCTCACTATAGACTACATCTACAACAACTATGACGTAGCATTAAATCAACTTTGCACGACCCCACCCAGATCGCTATTTGCAATGTGCATACCGGCGATAACCGATTGGAAACTTTCCAACAAAGACCTTCGAGGGCGTCACACCATGCCGATCCGCGTGAAGTACATGCATGGCATGTTTCAAGGCTGTCACGCGTTCGACCAGCGTCTCTCTTGGGACCTCTCCACGGTTGCCGGCCTGTGGAACATGTTCGGTAGAGGAGATATTGAGGATGCCGCAGACGTCTTTGGCAGCAAGTACGATAAAAAATCCCGTTGGGCACTCGCACCATGGACGATGAGTGCAGAGGAGAAGTGGTCGTTGCGAAAAAATTATGGATTGCAAAAATGTCTGGGTCTGGAAGAGCGCCAGACTTGGCATGCAGATTTTACATGACATATGACGTCGGTAATGCATAACCTGGCATCACAGATTTTTCGCGGGCTTTCTGATGCCTATCCGTGGTCCCGCATGAGAAATACCCTCTCCATGTAACACAAGCTGGACCCCTCTTGCACTTGCTGGTTATGCAATACAGATTTATATTAGAATGCAGTGGGCGTAGCTACACCAATCAATCAATGCAGAGACAGCATCACAAGTTTGGATTCTTCCCGACCCAGACATTTTTGCAATGCATAAGGATGCGGAATTCTTGGAAAGAGTGCAGATTGAGCTCTTCCGGAGATCCAAGTTTTGCACCTACGGCACCGCAGTAGATGGGCGCCACCAGATGATCTCTGTCGACCGTCTTCTGGAGTTTCATTCTCGAGGCGCATTTTCGGACACCTGGATCGGTCAGATGTTAGATGAAGGCTTCTTGCAGCTACCTAGCACGGATCCGCGTGTGAATGCGACGCGGCTCTTGACGCACGATTTTCACAAGGGCGGCGCACTCACAATGGCGGCTCTTGACGCACTCACAATGGCGCCGGGACGCATGAATAGATGAAGAATAAGTACTTAACTCGTGCAACAAGAACTCGGGTGGCTAACTTCTTAAATTTTGTGCAGCTGTAGCTGTTGTACAAATGAAATCATTATTCTGCTCATCCCGTGGGCAGGGCCAATGAGAGCAGTGTCCCCCACCAGCGGGCGGAATTTTGCGGGGAGAGATCAGGTCGGATGGCCTCGACGGGGTCAGGGGTAGGCGGTTCTTGCGGAGCAGATATTTCCGACCGTTCGTGTATGAGTTCATATCTATTTTGCCGTTCGCTATCACTTTGTTACAGTGCAAAAATTGAAACGTCATCCCTTTGGGATTTTACTTTTCAATGTATGAAAATTTTGATATCTAACACACGACTGCTACTCAAAAGTATTCGTCCACCTGCTGGGCATGCTTGTAGTTTTTAAGGACCTACTATACTTCAACTTCACCTAGACCACGCGGATTTTTGTGCAACAACCTCTTTTGAGTTGTGTGAAAACAAGGAGACAAAAATCACGAAAAGAACCGTCGTCCGGATAAGTACAATTTTTGAACCGAAGCGGCCAACTAGTACACAGAGAATGTTGTCACACCTTCACGATCACGAGTGTTGCTGTTGGTGAGTGTAAGATGTACTCGGTAGTTGAACGACTACCTGTGCTTGCCGACGTTGACGTCCGGAAGATGTCCTCTCGTAAGTACAGGGGCGGGCGATGAAATGCTTAGAAAGTAGAACTTCGGGATTGGTGGAAAAGGGAAAACCGTGAAAGTAGAGGACTTTCCTGGTTAACCTTGTGATGAACTCCTTCGAAGTAGAAGCAGTTCTCGTCAACAACATGCTGGGGCGAGTAGTAGTTTTGATATTTTTGTAGGGTGTTCATAGTGTTCTACTACCGAATCCGATCTTCAATCGTTCATCGTCGCATCTTTTTGTGCGTATGCAAATGATCTCGTCCTCAACAAGTACTCAATTTGGTCCTCGATGAAGGGTCTCGAAATATTTAATGTTTTGTCCGTGCTCCTCAAATCTGGGGCCGGTGGTCAAATTTCTCAAATGACTCGCACACGAGATTCACTGCAAAAATGTCGGGGTCTGGAAGAGAAGTCCTGCAACTTGTAATGCTGTCTGCGGATTCTAAAAATATCTGTGTTGCATGAGCAGCAAGAAGAGTCCAGTTCTTGGCACGCGGAGAGGGTATTTCTCCTGCTTGATAAGCATCAAGAAGCTCTCAGAAAATCTGTAATGCTAGGACCTGCATCGCTGACCTCATGGGTAGTGCAAAATGTGCATGACAAACCCCGACTCTTCCAGACCCAGACATATTTGCACGAGATCGACGCACACGACGAGGAGCAGGAACAACTTCAGCTCTGTCTGCCGCGTAGAAATGTTATGCAAAGTGTGCTGGATGAAGATATTTATAATAACAAGGCTTTTCCACGATCGCAAATCGTGGATCCGCAACGATAAATACTTCGTGAAATAAGAACATCGTCTGCAGTGCAGCTGCACAGACCTGGTCGCACAAATCCAATCCTCCTTTCGTCATGCAGCTTGATGCATCCTTTCGTCATGCAGCTTGGTGTACCACCAAAAATGTCGCTCCCCCCCACCAGATCAAATCGTTTCCGAAGCAAGCGGTCCGTCGTCGTTCTACATCATTTAGCAACCAAAATGAGATGAATTATGTGAACGAAAAAATGGGCGTTGTCGCTATGGGATGATAAAAGTCGCTCTAGTATATCGCTCTTGATCTTCTTGTCATCGAGGCCCGAGAATTGTTGGTGGTCCGGAAATGTTGCTTTTACCACGTTTGTGCAACTGCATCAAAATGCGGGTCCGGAAATACAGCTCTACCGAAAAGAAAATCCGCAGTTTTACGTTTTGATGAAGAAGAATAGCGCCACATTCTATAATTTTTCTTGGTCCTGGAAAAAAAATATAGAATACACGAGTTGTTCTAACCATAAAGGAAAGTAGACGTGCAAGTTATACATACTAAAGTAAAAAGTAGAAGTTTATACAAAAGTTTTGGTTTCATTTTCGACCTATTTATTTATCGCTGGCTCTCGAATCTCTAACTCTATCTTAATTAAGCGAGTGTAATCTTCAGCTTTTAGAAGACCACAAGTAGAAGTAATGTGGGCAACTATGGTCGAAAAGTCTCGGCTTCACGCCGAGATGAACATTGTGAATTATGTTGGCACGACTACAACTTCTCCCCCTGCGGTCAAGAAAATTTCTGTCCAGCACTCGAAGACGGGCTGGTCGAGCCTCCTCCGCAACTCCCTTTTCGTGTTGGCAGCCGGTCTTGGTCAAGGTATTTTTTCCGGTGGCAGCTTTGGTGGAACCGGGGCCTACGGTCTGCGGGCTTCAAGAATCCCGTCGGGAACGATAACGAACAACGACGGCTATCATGAGGCAGCTGACGCCGAAGATAGTGATAGCGAGAGCGACCATGATGCTATGAGGCCGCAAAAAAAAAACATCCTACGTAGTCGTCATTATTCTGCTTTCAGTATTTTTGCAGCTGATGCAACACGTGCTTAAATAACACTTAAATCCTGACTTGGGAAATAATTCTTTGTATATCGTCCAAGGCACAGGCACACACACAACCTGCATCATGTGTGGTAAAAAAGGTCGACGAATTTACGAATTTCAATTTGGTGCAGGTCCTGCTGCACAACCTTATTTACGCATGACAGATCAAATGCGCAAGAGGAAAAGCGCAGCAGAGAGCTAGTTGTGATGTTTTTTTTTCCTCGGATATCTCTTCCACCAAGTCGCGAGAAACCATACACGTTTGATTGTTTTTCGTTAGGGTTACAAGAGGGGTGGTAAGGACAATGGTATTGACAAAAACGTCTGTCGTGAGTAGAGAAATTATACGCAGAGTGCTGGATCTTTATGTCTCACATTTTCCGCAATGCTGGAGGTCCTGGCATGATTATACACAGAAGGGATTCAGAATCAGATACCCAAATTGCAGCGTGTTTAGCATGACAGAAACAGATCTTAAGTGGTCTTTCCCTTTTCATAGTACAAGTTCGCGTGCAAATAAAATTTGGCTCAGTGTTGACTGAGAAAGCACATCTTCACTTTTCATGCAAATAGAGAAGTGTCATAAAGTACATGACAATGGCAAAGCATTCTCAATGCCAATGTCGATACCACGAATGTTGCACCTTCATATCCTGCAGTTGGCTTGGCGACCGAAACCACACAGCCCATAGTACAGACACCAGTGCCTCCGTTTTGGCCCGTCGACCGCACGAGAGACGAAACCTGGGGGATCACATACGACGATGGCAAATTCGCCCACAGCCACTCAGCGGACGCTTGGGGCGGCCGTGATGTGATTTCTTGAGGAGAAAAAACGGCTTCTTGCATGGAAGGCAAATGTTGATCATGGTCTACTTCTCATGCTGCTGATCAGCCTAGACCCCGAGCCGTTACATGGACACTGTTCACACTAGACCACTTGTATCTATACAACGGCCACTAAATCTGCTTCCTTGATTCCACGATCATTATGTCCCTCTGTCCAAATGAGCTACCAACGACCCACATCGAGCATCCGCATCATGACCTTCCGTTGAGTGAGGTGACGGGCCGATTTTTTTCGCTTTGACAGCGCAGCGTCTTTCCTCCGACGAGTGGACACGGAACGCATTCGCAGCTTTGATAAACGGACAAAAACGCTTATGGCCTGCTCCTCGGGTGTTGATACATTCTCAACTCTTGTATTTCTTTGATTTCTGCTCTTCTGTTTGTAGTTTGTCGGGAGCGAATAAAGCAAGAACCGAAATTGTTTGTATTCAACGCCTCCTCTACCACGACCAGCTATCTTCATCTCTTTGGCAGGAATCTAGTAAAGAAAACTGGTTGTGGTTTTGCGATGATGCACAATAAAGGCGTACGTAGAGATAACTATTTGTATGCACGGCAGAAGCGCAAGCTCGTCCTGCAACAAGAAATATAGAAACCGCTACTGCAAATGTACTTACCACCTGAGTGCGCCATAACCTTCGTGGACAGCGACGTCGCGGAGAAGTGGAAACCATTTGGGAGCCGGAAGGAGCTTGAGAACGTGCTCGGCTGGTGGAATCTGCAGGAGGGGCAGCTCTGCACCACTGGCATGAGGCGCAACACACGATGGCATCTCAATCTCGACCAATTGAAATTGAGACAAGGGAAATGTCAGAAAGAAATGCAGGAGCGGTACGGCCCCATCCGTTTCTGGAATGTGTCCCGCGTCGGCGACTTGAGCGATTTGTTTCGCTGCGACATGAATTCGCCCGGTCGCAGCTGGGACAGACCACTCCGCTGGAGCAGTGAAGTAGCACCCATTCCGTATATTGCCGATTGGAATACCAAAGGCGTGCAGTCGATGAACGGTATGTTCTTCGGTTGTCGAGACTTCGATCAGCCCCTTCGGTGGGACGTCTCCACCGTGGAGACCATGCACGGCATGTTCACAGACAACGGCGTGCTCAACAGTCTCTCGGCCTTCGCTGCGTCAAATTTTTATCGAGGTGCCGCTGCTGGCGTAATGGGCCGGAACAGGTTTATGGAATTTCGCAGCCGAGGCGCCTTCCAGGAATTAGCCGCGCACTGGTTTTCTAGTAGCGCCATTGCACAGACAGTACTGTGGTCACCTAGAGCAGGCGCGGAGCAGTCGTGGCTGCTCCCAGAGACCGCACCACACCCGACTTTTTTGGTCGTGGACCTATCGACAACCGGCGAGACCATATATGCTGAAAATTGGGGGGACTGCCCAGTGAACCATGCAACCGACCTTTTCCGTAAACGAATTCGCGATGGCGGGTGGTGTGGAGACTCAGGTATAGTCGGTGACAATGTATTCGACGGCCTTGAGGACTACAGGCTTCTTTACGAGGGCGAGGACATTTTGCCGCTGATGAATCCTTTTGGCCGGCTTCGTAAAGAGCTTGGGTTTCTTTTTCCTTTGGCGAAGCAAGGTGGTTCCACAGACCCGCGCAGCAGTTACGTTCCGCTTCAGATGTACGTAAAGGAGCGCAAATTCGTCTTTTGGCGCGACGTCCGGAATGTACTCGAAGGCCATTTCCTGCGGAGACCCGGTAAACTTTTCGCCGGAGAGACGAGGTTTTTGCCGGCCGCTGAGTTTGGCCCAGTAGACGAATGGGACCTTTCGCGCGCGCGACATTCTACTCGAGACTCAGACCCTCGGGAGCTCCTGTCTCGGAACGTGACATGGCAGCTGGGGTTTTATAGAGCGTGCGCGAACGCCCCAGACCGGCTACGCCCCTGGGCAAGTGTGTTTCGCCCAGATTTTCATATTAGTGACTGGACGTTACCTGCGTTTTTCGACGCAAAGGGCCTCTTCTCGGGTTGCACGGATTTCGACCAGCCTCTCCGATGGAACTTTCACTTTGATGACAAGGAACGCCTGCGCACCGACAAGGCAGGCTACCCTCTGCGGGGCATGTTTCAAGGGGTAGCGATTTTCGACGATGTGGAAGCCTTTGCAAGATCGAAATTTTTCACCGAGGACACCAGATCCGCTAACGGCGAAACAACGCGAATGCCTCTTGCGAAGTTCCTGAACCTTCGCCGCAGCAGAGCATTTGATGCCCTTCCCGAGGCGACAGTTCTCGAAGGCAACCCTGCCACGGTCGCCACCTTCGGGGAACACAGTAAGGCCATGGCGAATAATTTTGCCAACCTTCCATGGCTCTGGGGAGACGCTTACGAGCAGGCCTGGAGCGAGGAGCACGAAGTCATGCTCGCGTCATTCCAGAAGAACGCTCCAGAAACCCGAATGCAGGTCAGGAGAGCTCGCGCTGCTGGCG